GAATTAAGGGACAGAGAAGTTGGTGGTGTGTTGGTGTAACCAAGGTGATGGATGTCGAGGATTGGGTAAATAAGAGGAAGGTTTGGAAGAAGTCATTTCCTAGAATTAAATCAGGGTCATCATCTAGGAGACATCATAATTTAGGTATTTTAATAGTAGCAGATTGAATGATTACTAATTGATTGATCCAATATTCATTGATAGTATGAAGACCATTAAAAATTTCGAGCAGTAAAAGTTGGGTATGTAGTGGGATATGATCTGGAAGGATAAATTTCTTACAGATAGTAATATCACTACCAGTATCACATAAATGTTTTCTTACATATAGTAATATTACTACCAGTATCAAATAGAGTGTATGGAAATAGGTTCATATGTAGGAATATATAATTCGATGGCAATATAGTATGAAAGCTTGGCATCGCGTGGGAGGATAATGTTATCTATATGAATGATGTTGTGTAAAGGTAATATTCGAGAAAATCGATTCCTACTAAAATTCGAATAGAATTTGTCATTAGTTAAGAATAAATAATGGAAATCAATTCGTTGATTGGCGGTATCCTAGAAACCAAAAAGTAGATTGGTTTCATGAGTACAATAGTGTTCTTGCCCAATATAGTCTTGATATATATATGGAGTATCTTTTAAAATTTGCAAATTTGTTGGAACCAAGTCTCGATCTATATGCGAACGGTGGGAACCTGTATCTACTAAAATTGTACACCGTCTGTCCGATGCAATATAATATCCAGAAACTAATAATTGATTATTGCTATATTCTTTTAGACTAGTAGATGGTCGAGCGAAAAAAGATAGATTGACTGGACTCGAGAGAACGTCGAGGTTGTATAGCAAGGGAACTAGAATTTTCAGTGAAACTAAATTGTGGATGAAGTTGGCTCCAGTGTCTTCGATCTTCATGGAAATCAAAGAGAAGATTATTGTAATTTTTATTTATCTTTGAATTTATTTTGCTTTCAAAACTACAACTTGGAATAAAAAAATTGAATGATTGAAGAAAGCTAATTCAAACCAAGTTTAAAAAAAGGACATGATACATTATTCTACAATAAAGAACTTTTCAATTTGCTAAAAGTAGATAATATAACACGAGTTTGTATGCACCTTTACCAATTATAGATAAATCATAAGAGAATGCAATCATGGATTTTGTGTTCAGTTTCCCATTAACATTGAGAAATAATGCCTCTATTTTTATAGCGGTAAATTCTTTCTAAAAAATGGCTTATTTTATTCCATGTAATAGAACTATCTATACAACTTTAAAATTAAATTGTATTTTAATGAAATGGTTAAGTTAAATGAGCTGACTTAAATAATTATATTTTGAATTGAAACACAGCTTAAATTTGCAAATTGGCTCTCAGAACATATGCCTTCACATAACATATCTACACAATCATTGATGTAATATATGCATAACTTGTATGAGGATAGTCACATAAAATAACTACTAACTATTACAATTACAAGCTTTTGCTGAAATAAGCAAGCGATATGTGGGGTTTAAACATAGTGATAAAGTTATAGAGCATTTAAGTAGGAAAACTTTCTTTGGAAACATTTAAAACGTAACTGAAAAAACACAAGGCCATCTAAAATTTAATTGAGTATCGGAAATGATGTCAATAACTAGAAAAATTTTTACAATTTCGCCATGTTTAAGTAGGAAAACTTTCTTTGGAAACATTTAAAAAGTAACTGAAAAAACACAAGCCCTTCTAAAATTTAATTGAGTATCGGAAATAATGTCAATAACTAGAAAAATTTTTAAAATTTCGCCATTAATCCAACTTTTAATGCGTCGAATTTGACCTTATTTCATAAGCACATTGTCAACATCCTCATTATGAATCCATATTAAATCCTTTGTTGGATATATCTATTCAACTTTTCATACAACTATCATGAATGAAGAAACTGAATCCATAGCAGATGATGGATTTGAACAACTTATTCACTAGAGTGACATATCTATTTGTGCTGATTTATTAATTATTTTATAAGCATAAAATCTATCACAAATTATTTGATGAATATTAAATGCCTAATTCATCAGATCCAAATTGTCCAAATCGGGCTAATTTGATAGAAATTTGTGTTTATTCTCGTAAAAACAATGCAACAAGAAATGATCTCCCAAAATTAATTTGATTTTATTTAGCTGTTTATTTTACTTTAATTTGTAACTCCTTATGATTAGAATATGTCGGTGATGAAGATCTTGATCAATGGACATGCTTTATTCTCTAGCATTATTTTGGCATGAATGGTTTGGTATGACATCGAGTTGGTCTGGTTCAAAGATAATATCTAATTCAAACACAATATTTATAAAAAGGGTTATGCTAGGATTTATCTGGAAGATCAGCCATTCATTCCATAAATTTATGAGATTAGCTTTAACCATTTGTTATGATGGATGTGATTACTTGTGGCAAATTATGTTTATGTTTCTGCTATTATGAGGGGTGGTTCCTATTCTTTTACCTGGTTTTCAATTCAAAAGGCTGCAAATTGCTGCTAAATGGATTTTGGGTTTTCTATTCGTGCTACTTGTGAGTTCCATTCAGTGGAATTTCTTAAAACATTTAAGGGAAATTTTATCAAGGGACTCATTTAATTCCAGCTTTCTATGAATTTTGGATAAAATTAAAATTTGAACTAGAAAATTATTTGCACTAACAATATTTACCAACCCCATGGATGAAGAATCTATAAATGAATATTTTGACGCATGTGATTTTTAGTTTTGATGGAATAAGAAAATTATTCTTCCAATTTTAATCTAATGTGTAAGTTGAATTGTGTGTTTTTTTTTCAAATGTGATACAAGTGCAACTATTTAATTCTAAGGAAAATCATCTCCTTGTACCAGGATTAAAAGCTTAACTTTCTAGGTCTTATGATTTCTTTCCTTAATTTTTTTTACATAACTTAAATTTGGCTTGCTAGTTTACTGGATTTTATTCAAATTTGACATAACTAAAAGAGAGTTGGTCTAGTTCACATCTGGTTCAAACCTGAAGTTTCCAAAAAAGTTTGTGCTAGAGGGAAAAATTTTCTATCCGGATTCCGGACGTAGCTCTACGTGCGAACACTCAGTAATATACTGTCATTTGTGCTATATCGGGTCCACCTACAAAAATATTAAAGTGGAACCACGGACTCTGCAATAACCCTGAAATAATCTCTACGGTCCCACTTCAATAACCCCAAAATAACACCTCAGAGGTTATTTCGGGGTTATTTCTGGGTTATTTCGGGATTATTTATGAGTTATTTCAGGGTTATTGAAAGAAACCCTTATATTCCACTTTAATAACCCCGAAATAACCCTAAAATAACCTCCGCGGTGTTATTTCGAAGTTATTAAAGTGGAACCGCGGAGGTTATTTCAGAGTTATTTTTGAGTTATTTCGAGGTTATTGAAGTGGAATATATGAATTTCTCTTCAATAACCCCGAAATAACCTCTGCGGTTCCACTTCAATAACCCCAAAATAACGAACCTCTGCGGTTCCACTTCAATAACCCCGAAATAAGATCCACGATGTAGCACACATGGTGGCATATGATTGGAGTCTGCAAGTAGAGCTAAGTCCGGAGTCCGGACATAAAATTTTTCATGCTAGAGATGTCTATGGAAAGACAGCTATTCCATTCCAAGGTATGAATCAAAGTGTTTGAGTAGGCAAAAAATTTGTTCTATGTGCCTACTTTAATTTTAAATTTTTATGAATTTAGATAAAAATAAACTTTGAACTACCAAATTATTTGGACTCAAATTGGGTTAACCTTATACTAGCTATATCCACAAATCTATAGATACAAATCTATAGATGAAGAATCTACAAATATAAATTCCAATGCAAGTAATTTTTATCTTTCATTAAATACAAATTCCTTCTAGTATCAATTTTGAATGTGCAAATTGAATGTGTTTCCTTCAAACGTGGAATAAATGCGACTACTTAAAATTAGAGAAAATCATATCCCTATTCCAGCATGAGACGTTATTTTCTTTCTTTGATAATTTCTTCTATATAACTAAATATTGGCTTACTAGCATTGCTTGCGTAACTAAATATCTAAATTTCGTAATTAAATTACAATTGATTGTTTATTTTGTATGGTTTGAATTTCTTGATTTTTTGGATTTATTCAATCATTAGATAATCGTTTTCTAATTCTCATATTTACCATTATCATATAAAGAAAGCTTGTTTATTTAATGGCTTGTCATGAGCAAATCAGAAGTTCCTTACGCTGATCTATATATATCGCATCATTCTAGATAAATTAGTATGCCTTAACTCTAAGCCATCCTACATCATCCACCCTTACAATTGTTGCTGAGATAATGATACATAGATATTTGATCTTGAAAAACATTAAATAAAACAAGTAACTTGATACATAGATATTTGATCTTGAAAAACATTAAATTTGGGGTTTATAAAACAAGTAACTGGGATGAGACTATTGGATTTGGAGTTCCAAGGAAAAAAAAAGGTTGTTTGTGACAATGCAATCCTTGTTACATCAAAAGAAGTTCCATGGGAACCCAGCAAATAAAGAATTCGTCCATTCATTGCCCAACAAAAGCACTGATGATTAGGAGTGGAGGAATTTACATAGCTAGCACAAAATTCTTACCTATTTGCATATCTCACACCTAAACTTTCATATTTACACATATAGCACTCAATTATTAAACATCACAAAGTGAGAACTTTTCATTCATAGGTTTAAAGCACCAAAATGCTATGCAAGTAAACATGAAAATTTAGGTGTGAGATATGTAAACACATAAGAATTGTGTGCTACGTAAGTAATTTTTCCTAAGAATGTTCTGTGAATGAGAAATAAAAGCAATTTTGTTTCAACAAGCTATTCAAAAGCACTCACTTCTATGTGCTACGGAGTTAGAGAACAAAGGTGAGCCTGATCTAAGAAATGCAGCAAACTTACCTTTAAGCCGAAGCCAACCATGCATCAACTCATGGGTAAGAATGGACCCTGTTAATAGCCTGCATTCATAAATATAGATATAATATATTTAATTTATCAAGCCTCGGACTTTGGTAAATATGAGCATATGCACCAGCACCAGATGAAAACAAACGCACAATCTGCATGCATTAAAAACATCAGCTACTTAATATGTTCCATAGAAGTCTGCTTTTCCAGTATAAACAGATAAATGCAGCATCATTATCATCATCAGAAAAAAATAAAAATTAAAAATTAAAAAGACGACAGTACATATGAGAATATACACCATAGGAAAAAAGATGTAATATCTAAGGAAGATTCACGGGTATATCACTCAATACTTATGTGCTTACATATCTAATACCTAAACTTCAATTTTTACATACATGCCACCACACAAATGCAATTAAAAAGCGCATTTCACTTTGAGAAAGTTAAAATAGAGTATTTTTATGCGACATGAAAGATTTAAGAGGTATAAATGTAAAAATCAATGTTTACGTGTTGTATATGTAAATAAATATGATATGGATGGTGTGTACTAAAATGCCCAAATATCCAAATGCATTAAGAACATCAGATGTTTAATATGTATCCCAAAAGTCTGCTTTTAAGTTCCAGCATAAATATATAAGCAAATCATCATCATCATTAGCTCCAACTATTTCGAGAATGGCTTGGAATTCAATTTTCAGCTAATTTCGTTTAGTGTTACCTGATATTTTAATGCTATTTTTTGCAAATCTATTTAAACAACTTCTATTCATATTATCATAGTTCTACCCCTTAAACTTCAGAATTCTTTAACACTAGTTTCATTGACTCATTAATGACCCAATTAAAGAACAAAATATAATCAAAGATTTCCGTCAAGAAAGGGCACTGGTTTTGCGTCCAGTCTATTTTTTGTGCCCACATTTTGGTTTATATTCAAAAGATTGCAAGAAGATTTTCTGATTCCAAATTTAGACATGCCACTCAAAATTTGCATATTTTGTTCTCTAAAATTCTGCAAGCACAATAAAGTTGAACTTGTAAACTTACAAAAAATAAAAAATAAAAAACCGTGCTTAGATTTGAAGCTTCATTCCATCATCAAATTGAGCTGGCTTTAAAGAGCAGACTGACGAACTAGTGAAAAAAAAAAGCTTAATTTAACTGGTACATGACAAACTAACAAAAAAATGTAGTATGATGACTGGCCTGGGAAGTCCATATAAAACAAGGATTGCTGTTACTTCACATCTGCGTGTCAACTTCTGAGGATAAGTTCTCATGTCCAAAATTCTATTTTTCCCAATTCTTGGTTTTTTCAGTATCTACATAATAGATATAGCAAAACAAATCATCGTGAAATAATTCACCAGGAAATATCAGAATGAATACAAAATGCGTAAAAAAAGGGAACTGATTTAGTAGCATCAATGTGGTACGTACACTGCTAACAGTTTGCTCCTCTGACAGACACAATCCCCTTGTCTCAGGCATATGATGAGGTCCCTGACATAAGGCCAGTGTAAGAATAATAAATCTCCAAACGCACACAAGAAAAAAAAAATCAGTTAATTCAAGATCGAGTAAAGTGCCAAAATAGTCCCTTGACTATTTATATGGGGTTATTTTAGTCCCAGAGTGCATAAAAATGTCAAATTAGTCCCCCACTCTATTTTAATATGAGCTAAAAAACGTTTTTTGAAGAGTTTGAAAACTAAATTGACACTTTTATAGACTGACTAAAATGACTCCTAAAAAGAAGACGGTGAACTATTTTGACACTTCTCATTCAAGATTATTTATGCATATGCAAAGCCAATGCCAAATGATTGGGATAATGATGATGATGACGAAAAAGAAAGTAATGCTTACAACCCTTTCTCCTTCCATGGCTTCATTAAGTGCTTGCCTTTCCACTAGCAGCATGGGGATCTGTTGATCTATCTTCATATACATACCTTCGTAAAAATCTCTAATATCGTGGTATAAGGATTGACATTCGCCGGTATCCATGATAGCGGAATCCAAACATTCCAAGCAGAGGCTGCGCCCATCTCCCAAAGCAATGTATCTTGCACTTCTTGACTTAAAATGTGGAGTACATGAATGATTCAAAATTTATCGTCAACAATTAGTTAAGAAAAAAAAAAGAATGCTTACTGTAAGAATAACAAAGGTGATAAAGAGAATGAAATGATACAGTAGAAGAATTAAACAATATTGCTGTCTTAATAAAGAAGTTCCTCACCTCCATTCTCTCGCAACTACAGCAACGTGGCGTGCTGTCATGTTCATGGGAAGGACAATATTTTTGGCCCCAAAATGGATGAGCTCTATACTCAATCAATCCAGACAAATTTGTGGGTATCTGCCCAATTCGCCGATATGGATAATTAATAATTTCTTTGAAGAATTTAGTACTTTTCCACATTAAAGCAAATGCCGCAATAAAGTAAAATCAATCATGAAGCGTGAAGTCCTTTTTTTTTCTTAATTATAAAGCTGTGCCTTAAGCCCTTCTCATTGATAATCATTTTGAAATATACAAGTTGTAATAATCAATTCGGCTGTTCAGATATAACCCTAATGTACCATTATGCACAAAATAGCAAAATAGATTATGGTGTAAACAGATTTACTATAATATATCCTAGTCTCAAAAGCCCTTACCCAAGTTCTGCAAAAGTATACAACTTCAACACTTGTTTGCTAAAACAATGTAAAGCTTGTGATAAACATAATTGTCATAATCCAAGGGTAACAATAGCACTTCGCCTTCATGAAATTTATGATCCAGATTAGCACCATGGGATTTGGATACTCTCCGGTTAGGGTTTAACTGCACACATCCACTTTAAATTGCCAAGATTGAGTGCTTGAAAATCAGAGTGATTATCATGCACTGATCAACTAGGAAAAGAAAAATATACACTGATCAGTATTTTTTTTATTGCATCTCATTTGCTAGGAACTCTACACTATGAATTGGAAAGAAACAATTCCATCTGAAGTAGAATGATATCCTAAGAAGATGGCTGTAACACATTAATACCTAGACCAAATAGTTCCAATGCACTTACATGAACTTTAAGACGGGTAGTTAGGTGAAAGACATTAAAAACAGCCTTAAATTATGGTTAAATCAGTAAAAAGGGGAATATTTGAGAATATAAATGCATGATTTTCTTTATTCTCTCCATATAATAAAAAGGAACAAACTTTTTGACACTAACACATAGAAAGTAAGTGTTAGAAGGGTAAGAATTGTAAAGGACTTACAGCTTTACTCGGCTGTTTCTCAAGTACTAAAATACATGTGCCCATATATAACAGACAAGAATAACAAACTGTAAAGAATATATATAATAAAGAAAAATATCCTCAATTATAAGAAAATACTATAATATATAACACAACTTTCAACCTACAGATAAGTAAGGCCATGTGATAGTTAAGATACAATATCACTTCCATGCGAACTCAAGATGCGATAAAAGATGCAAACAACTTGAGTTTTGAAATAGTATATACAAGAAATGAAGTATTCATAAATTTTGTTGTACCAAGATTGTGAGTGCCACAAGAGGAATGCAACCAATCCAATAAAACGAGATTAGTATTAATCGAACCAAAAAAATGGGAAACAGGATTTATGTCAAATAAGGCACAAATAAGATCCTAAAAAATGGTATTGATAGGTATCAATGGAAATATCAACAGAGAACATCAAAGAAGACTGCTGATAAAGAGTGTTGAAGGAAATATTTACATGACGACAACAAAATACATTGATGAGTAGCCTCTGGAGAATAGAGGTAGATTATAGAGATGTACAAATTTACTTGACATGGAGTGGGAAATCAGGTATCTCAATGGTTGATGATGGAGATGATGTTCTCATGAAAGAATAAGCCAATAGAGTGCAAAAGGGTCGCAGGAAACAAACTATGTGAAACTAAGCCATTAAAGATCAAAGTTTTACCAAACGTTCTAAGGGTCTGATATCAACAGGAAGGTGCTTAGAGAAGTTAGGAGGAATCTAGGTCATGGGTACGATACTATGTTAAAGGGGGTAATTTAAAAAGCATAACAGCCTCAATTTTCTTTCTAATATAAGAAAATATGTGTCTATATAAATTCAAAAAAAGAAAACAAAAAAGAAAAATATAATGAAAGAGAAAATCATCAATAATGAAAAAAATATCACAATAATAAATAGTTTGGATTTCTATAAGAAATAATTTAAGCCATAGAATATTTTAAATAAGATAAAAGAAAGATTACTGAATTTTTTATGCTGATTAACAATGTTTAGAGTTCTAAATATATGCAGACCTCTTGAATAGTGTGGCATACACACCCATGGCAACACAATCAAGCATGAAACTAAATAATCTTAAATAATCCAAAATAAGAAAATTTTCTTACAAATTGATTGCAGATATCACACTTTGGATGATGCAATTCCTTGTAGCATTTTTTGTGGTATGGGTAACTCCCTGACAAAGAAAACTGAAAAGATAGAATACTTTAATTTCCTCCTCAGAATGAGCTCATTTTGCTAAAGATGGTTTATGAATAAATATTACTGATCTTATTAACCACACAAGTACTACAGAAAAAAAAAAAAACTGAACCACTCAAATTAGTAACCTCAGTTTCAGAGATCGGTTGAGCACAGGAATAGCAGCGAAAACATTGAGGGTGCCAAAAGGTTCCCATGCAGCTTAAGTAATGACCACAACCTATTTCTTGTTTGCAGCCTCCACACAATCTGCAGAGAGTAAGCATACTAGACTAATCTTTCCAACTACATTCTTTATGACCTTAAATGCCGCAGCAAAACAAAAACTAACCTAAATCCTCTAGGTAAAAATTGTATAGGATTCGTATTATATGGACAAAAGGAAGGCATGCCACCCTGGCTTTCATCAATTGCTCTACTAAAGTTTTCATCTTCATGGCCCCGTCCTATATGACCTGAAAGCATACAATTTTTGTTTGAGCTATGAAACTCAATAAACAACACTATAAGTTTAAAACCAAACAAGCTGTAATGTCACATGGCATATAAAATGTCGTGTTACCAACCTACCATTTCGTCTCTTTGCGTCCTCGGCGAGAGAAAGAGCAATCGCATGATCTAGATCTTCATTTTCAGCTCTAGATCGGTCATCCTGACAAGATTAGTATAACAAAAAATATATGCAGATTAGAAGAGCACCATTAATGACCATACTAGTTATATATCTTGGTTAGTGTTGCATGAATTGTATATTATTGCTTTCCCAAAAAATTTTATCATAGAAAAAACCACGTGACATTAAAATTGTACATTTCATTTTGTGTATAAATGATTTTTAAAAATAGCATGCCACTTTCTCCTTATAAAATTCATGCATTGCTTTTCTCTTGTTATAAAGTTACAAAATAGGGAAATTTACATATATACCACACAATTCTTATGTATTTACAAATCTAGCACCCAATGTTTGATATTTAGTCTAATAACACCTTGGTATCATAAAGCTATGCATGAAAAGATGTATTTCACTTTTAAAAATGTAGTAAAGGTGGCATTTTTTATATGATGTTAAAGATTTGAGTGGTATGCAAAAGAATATTAATGTCTAGGTGTTATATATGTAAATACATCATAATTGTGTGGTATGTATGTAAATGTCCGTACAAATAAAAAGGGAAAATATTAATCATCATTATTCATCTTCAAACTACTAAAATGTAAGAATAAATTACCATGGATCTGCTTGGACCATGCCAAAACATGTTCTCTTCCCCAGCCACTTCTGAACGCCTACCGTTTGTTGTTCCCCGGCCAGGCCCTTTGAAGAGCTTGCTAAACCACTTCATAAAGCCAGATTTTCTCTGATTGTGCGCTGATTCCATTTGCCCTGAATCTCCCAATTGCATTTCTTTAAGTCATAATAATAAAAAAAGGGGTATTTATATACCATGCAATTCTTATATATTTAATACCTAAACTTTCATATTTACATACATGCCACTTAAATCTTTGACATTACATCAAAATTATCATTATTAATAACTTTTAAAAAGTGAAATACTCCTTCCCATGCATAGGTTTTAATACCAAGGTGTGTATAAATATCAAAAGTTAGGTGTTGATATGTAAATACATAAGGATTGTGCGGTATGTATGTAAATTTCCATAAAGAAAAACCATCTAACACACTGAATGCAACTTAATAATAGACCATGATTTTTTGAAAATTAGATGGATATTTATAATACTTTAGTTTGATATTCCTATGCATAAGAATGAGACAGTAATGGCATATTCATGTAAAGATTTGAAGGCTTTGCATAAAACCATTAAATTTTTTTTTAGGTGTTAAATATGTAAATACATTAGGATTGGCGGATGAAATATAAAATGAGATATGTGTTATGTTACTCCGATAAAACACTGATAAAAATAAGATCAAAAGAAAGAAGCAATAAAACTCAGACAATTTCCAAATCATTATACATATCCAAAATAAATCAATTATATAAATAAATAAAAAAATAGAAGGCTTGTTCCCTCTCTTTCTAATTTTAAAGCTTATATCAATAAGAGCACAACCACATAGTGAATGGCCTAATGAAAATAGGAGAGGTTGGTGTTGAATATGGAGTCTGTGCTCTTCCCACCTCCTTTAGGATCCCGCTCAACTCTCCATCACGCGGTCGCGCCAAAACTCTCTCCCTCACGCGATCTCTTACGCGGAAACTCGGATTGGAATTGCCTTTTAAGCTTTTTAATGCCTCTTATAAAAGCACAACAAAAAGGCCTGCTAATTCATCCTACCAAAACCCCTCCAAAACTCACAAATGGGAAAGGAAGAAGAAAAGAAAAAACAAGCTTTTTCTGTCTTTTCACCCTTGGATTCTTGTGTTAGGTGACTTACAGGATTCCTTTTGTTTTTCCCCCTTTTCTTCTGGCTGTAACTCCATTAAAGAGAGAGAGAGAGAGGGGAGGAGAGAGAAGGGGAGGAGAGAGGAAGGGAGAGAAAAAGGGAGTTTTTTCTTGTAAATGTCGAGGCGGTCGACGGTGTAATTCCTCGAAATAATAAAATCCTCTGCAACTCCATGGACGTAGGCAAAATTGTTGAACCAAGTATATTTATATGTCGCCTTTTTCTAGTGTATTTTTCTCGTCCCAATTTTTTTTTTCATTTTTCGTCGTTATTTTTCACAACAACTGGTATCAGAGCCGCGGTTCCAGATCTAAGGAAGAACGATGGCCGAAGATAAAGTAAAGGTTTCGGGGATCGAGAAGTTCGACGACACAGATTTTGAATACTGAAGGATGCAGATAGAGGACTACCTCTATGAGGAGAAACTTCATCTTCCGTTACAGGGAAATCAACCAAAGGAAATGGAAGAGACTGATTGGAATCTATTGGATCGATAGGTTATGGGGGTTATTCGATTAACTTTGTCGAAATTCATTGCCCACAACGTCATCAAGAAGAGGACGACTGGAGATCTCATGACGGTCTTATCAGGTATGTATGAAAAGTCATCAGTGAATAACAAGGTGCACTTGATGAAAAAGTTATTCAACCTGAAAATGACGGAAGGTGTGTGTAATTAAGCATTTAAATGATTTTAATACCATCACAAATCAATTCTCGTCTTTTGAAAATGATTTTGAAGATGAGATACATGCGCTGATACTGTTGGTTTCATTGTCAAATAGCTGGGAAGCTATGCAAATGACAGTTAGCAACTCTGCGGGTAAAACAAAATTGAAATATGATGATATTTGTGATCTGATTCTGGCCGAGGAGGTGCGTAGAAAAGATTTCAACGAGGCCTCGAGTTCGAGTTCAGCACTAAATGTTGATTCCATAGGGAGATCACAGGACATGAACTCAAACAGAGGAAAATCAAAATCAAAACACAGAAGAAAGAGCAAGTCATAGTCTGGTCAGCAAGCAACCTGTTGGAATTGTGACAAATCCGACCACATAAAGAAGAACTGCAAAAATCCTAAGACAGAGAACTTCAGTGCTAATGTTGTAACTGAAGAAGTGCAGGATGCACTTTTGCTTGCAGTACACAGCTCTATTGACTAATGGATACTGGACTCAGATGCTTCTTTCCATACATCTTCCCACCACGAGTTAATGCGAAACTATATTGCAGGTGACTTTGAGAAGGTGTATTTGGCTGATCGAGAAGCTTTGAATGTGGTAGAAATGGGAGACCATCATATTGCATTCTCTCACAAGAGCAAATGGACTCTGAAAAAGGTTAGGCACATTCTTAAGATGAAGAAAAATCTAATTTTTTATTGGGCAGCTCGATGAATGATGACATACAGTAGTGTTCTCAGATAGCACCTGAAAGGTCACAAAAGGAGCACTGGTACTGGCTTGGGGTAAAAAGACTGGTACATTGTACATGACTATTGGTTTAATTAACAGTATTGATACTACAGTCGCAGAGAGCACAACAGACATGCAGCATTACAGATTGGACACATGAGTCAGAAAGACATGAAAGAGCTTCAGTCCAGAGGCAAGCTATCAGAACTGAAGTCAGTTGATCTCGACATGTGTAAAAGTTGCATTATAGGGAAACAGAAGAAAGTATGTTTATTGAAAGATGGCAGGGTGTCAAATGCAGGAAAACTAGAACTTGTACACATCGATGTATGGAGACCTTCCCCAGTGACATCTTTTGGAGGCTCTTGCTACTACGTCACATTCATAGATGATCACAGCAAAAAGGTATGGGTTTACTTTCTGAAGCATAAATCTGATGTATTTACTGTGTCAAAACTTGGAAAGTCATGATTGAGACAGACAAATCTAAAACTAAAATATTTAAGGTCTGAAAATAGTAGTGAGTAAATCGATGAAGGGTTTAAAGAGTACTGCGCAACTTAGGGTATCAAAATGGAGAAAACCATTCCAGGGACATCAAAACAAAATAGAGTTACAGAGCATATGAACAAGACCAACAATGAGCATACCAAGAGCATGAGATTGCACGTCAGACTACCACCA